CCGATGAGCGCCGACACGCGCTGGTCCGAATAATAAATAATTTGTATTTGAATTATTATCCTTAGATTAAATCAATCTAAGTTATAATCTTTTTATAAATCTAATAACTTTATCTTTTATTAACTAAGCGCTAAAATTATTTGTTTCGTAATTACCGAATGGTCACAACAAGTCTTTCTTCTGGAAGGATTGGTTGTTTATGCCAATTGCACCAATTTTTCATCAAACGGTTTTTCACTAAATCCAAAATGTAATAAAGTGTTTCTTGAATCATTCTTGTATATGTATAAAATCTTTGTTCATCAAATTTCAATTTTTTTACAAATAAATGATGGTATTCTCCGAAACGTTTCCTTTCTCTATTTATAGGATGTATAGCTGTTTTTCGCATTTTTAAATAAACATTCTAACAAAACCAAATCATCGTCCGATGAGTCCGACATTTTGCTTGATCTGCTTTAATCGGCTTCCTTTATGTAGGAAGGATCGGCGCCGATAAGCGCCGATCGGCTTTCGGCTTTCTTTCTGTATACGGCCTAAAGGAAGCCGATTAAAGCAGATCAAGTAAAATGTCGGACTCATCGGACGATGATTTGGTTTTGTTAGAAAATGTTTATTTAAAAATGCGAAAGACAGATATACATCCTATAAATAGAGAAAGGAAACGTTTCGGAGAATACCATCATTTATTTGTAAAAAAAAATAAATTTGATGAACAAAGATTTTATACATATACAAGAACGATTCAAGAAACATTTTATACCATTTTGGATTTAGTGAAAAACCGTTTGATGAAAAATTGGGGCAATTGGCATAAACAACCAATCCTTCCAGAAGAAAGACTTGTTGTCACCATTCGAACGAAACAAATAATTTTAGCGCTTAGTTAATAAAAGATAAAGTTATTAGATTTATAAAAAGATTATAACTTAGATTGATTTAATCTAAGGATAATAATTCAAATACAAATTATTTATTATTCGGACCAGCGCGTGTCGGCGCTTATCGGCGCTTATCGGCGCCGGTCCATAGAAAAAGGATCAGCGTCAATAGGCGCCGATCGGCGCTGATCGGCGCCGATCGGCTTTCGGCTTTCTTTCTGTATACGGCCTAAGTTTTTCCATGTTCTTGAAATCTTCATAAGAGAAACTGTAAAAATATGTGTGGAGATGATACTTAAATGTACTGCTGATGTAAATTGTTTGTATAGGTACTAATTTCGTAAAGTTTTCCGCGTGCTTGAAATCTTTACAAGATAAACAATACCCTTGTAAAATGTGTGAATATAGGCCACAGAGGCCGTAGATGTTTTTTTTTGATGCAAAACGGAAGGGTGACGGCGGGGTAAAGTAAACGGAATTACATTTAATTCGTCAGTTACGGGTAGATTTACCAAAAAATAATGAACACTTACTTTTTCTTTAGCCAATCAATCAAAAAATTACAAAGATAAAGCGCGTCAAAGTTTCGAGGTGCGGGCTCGTGACGTCACTTTTAAGTTAAAATTGTAACAAAACGTGACGTCATGCGACATTTCAAAACAATATAAAATTAAAATAATTGAAACAAGTTTATTCATTATGTAACCATTTATATACCAAAATGTACTTAACAAAACATAGATTCTTATGACAATAAAGTTTATTCAAAATGACCTCCGTGATTTTGAATACAGGCCTTTAATCTGCGCGGCCAGTCGTCTATCGCAGCACGAGCGAGGTCCATGTCAATATCGGCGGCTGCCTTAATCAAGGATGTCTTGAGTGACTCCAAATTGGGATGAGGCTTTCAGCACGCCTTTTCCTCCAAGTGTTGCCATATCTTGTAATCTAACAGACTCAAATCTGGACACAAGAGGGCCAGTCTTCGTGCCGGATGAAGTCGATTTCACGCGCCGCCAGCCAGTCTTGTGTGCTCTTCGCTCTATGAGCTGGCGCCGAATCTTTTTGGAATACCCAGTGCCTGTTATTGAACATGGTATAAGAAACAGGTTCCACAAGGTTCATCAGGACTGTATTTTGATACACAACTGCATTCGTTTTTACACCTTTCTCACAAAAATGTACCTCTGTTAAGCCCCAATAAGAAACACCCAACCATACCTTGAGCGAAGATGGAAAATGACCTCGTTGGACACGCGGAATACGGTTGCTCGCTTCTTCACTACTGTGTACACCTTATCATTTTGTTTGTTGCAGCTCTCTTCTACGGTAAAAAAATTTTCATCCGAAAAAAGAATTTTCCGATATTTTTTTCCCGCGTACTGCTTCAACAAAGCGCGGCATCTCTTTAGTCTCAGGTCCATTAGACAAGCATTCAAACGATGTCCTGTTTTTCTTCGATATGCCCGAAGCCCTAAGTCTTCATTTAACACCCTTTTCACCGTGGTTCTGCTTAACCCCATCTGAAGGGCCAACAGTTTCTGCTTACGTTTGGGATTTCTTTGAATTCGCACCTTCACAGCTTTTATCACTGCTGGAGTCCTAACAGACCGAGGGCGAGGCAACCACTTCTTGACCTGTCATCTACACTAGAGTCTTAATTGTATCGTTTGATGGTACGATAAACGATTCTTTTGGTTATATTCAAATTTTTCAGTATGTCAAAAATTTGAATTGGCGCGTAACACGGTCTTCTTTAAGCATCCACTCCATATTTAAAAATGAGTAAAATTCTAAAAAGTATACATTTTTACCCGACGCGCAGACATTATAGTGTTTAACAGTCTATATATGTATGTTTGTTCCTTTGTGGCACACTAGAGACCAAACGCGTGGACCGAGTTTAATGATTTATACATCAATCGATTCGTCTTAATCATGGGAGTGCTACTAAAGATATGATAATAATCAAAAATCAATATGGAGACAACTGGGCGCCATAATGTGAGAAAGAAAAAAAAATAAGTTGCCGAAATATGTCGAGTGGCATATTATTGTCTAGATAATCGAAAATCATCTTAGGTTAGGTTCCTTATACCATTTTTCATTTTATATGATTGTTTAGAATCTACAACGATTTAAAGTTGTATATTAACCACTTGCGCTTTTAATTTCAATCTTACGATTGTATGGATCTTTGTAACTCTTTCACTCAAAAAATACTAAATGGATTTTAATCAAACTAACCAATAATAAAGCTCATACATAATAATAGCATATAGATTATAATTTATGTTGTTATATTCTAAATAAGTGTCACGTGAGACGGAAAAAATCTCCCATCTGCGAGCCATTTTGGGATGCACTGCAAAAACAATAAAAGTTATATTTGGTTCTGTGAATTATGTACGTAAAACAAATTATGAGACAAGTATATGCATTGCATTTGTGTATATCACAATCTTAAAGTTGCTTACAGCCACTTCCAATTTTAGATAGTTGACGAATTAAAGTAAATGAATTTTTTATTTACTACTAAAAAGAGCAAAAGCAAAAGATGACTTTTTGAATAAATACGGAAAATAAATACTAGTTAAGTATATAATTTACATTCATTAGATATACGGATAAGGAATTGATTTAAATTTACACATTTCTGCGAAATTGAGGCCCATAAGGCCTTGACCCTGATGGTAGGGTGTCGTTTAGACTACCGCAAGGTACTTAATAATCCGCTTGATATTAACTCCCTTATTGAAGTGACAGGACTGCAGTATATACTGTCTTATAATCTTAACTAAAAAGTGTTAAATAAAAAAGGTAAATTCAAAAAAACAAAAAACCCGACTGCTTAAATATTACTTCAAATAAAAACTGAAAAGAAAAAAACAAGTCCAGTAGTCTATAATTCTGTTAAGTAAGGAACAAAGCTACTTTAACAGTTGGGACCCATTATTGAAAAAAAATGATCTATCCTTGAATATCTAATGGGACCCGATTGTTAAAGTAGCTTTGTTCCTTACATAACAGAATTATAGACTACTGGACTTGTTTTTGAAGTGAAACTTCTTTATCGGCGTTGGAAAAAAATTTACCGTCACATTTTTCGGTTACGCGTCACATTTTTCCGTTACGCGCCATCTTTTTTTATATTAATAGTTGATAGCTGAATGATCACACTGTCGCCGGCGAGAACTCTCTCTACTCGTTTGTAGCTGAGTGACAATAGTTATTAAAGATAAGACTCGCTCAGCCAAACTCGCATAGCGATACTCGCTCAGCGATACTCGCTCAGCGATACTCGCTCAGCGGTACTTGCTCAGCGGTACTCGCTCAGCGGTACTCGCTCAGCGATACTCGCTCAGCGATACTCGCTCAGCGATACTCGCTCAGCGATACTAGCTCAGCGATACTCGCTCAGCGATACTAGCTCAGCGATACTCGCTCAGCTATACTCGCTCGGTTAAGCTGGCTTGGCTGTCAAAAGCCGTGCGCGTGCATTTTAACTCAGGACTGCCAATTCGTTTCTAGTTTCTACTCGCTTATCGTTCATCGTCGGAGGTGGAACATGTGCCTTAGATTACTGAGCCGTGTAATCATAACAGTTTCATAGGCAGTTCTTTGTATTCATGTCTATGATAATAAAATCCTTTTGTTTAAACTTTATCTAATTTAACTTTATTTAACCAATTTCTGGAAAGTTGCATGTAGATCATTTTTCGAAAAATAAGGCCATAAAGAAGTTTCACTTCTTACGTGTGTACACTAGTACACGCACACATTTTTTATTTTTTTCTTTTCAGTTTTTATTTGAAGTAATATTTAAGCAGTCGGGTTTCTTGATTTTTTGAATTTACCTTTTATTTTATTTTCATGAACAATTCGAAATTCGAATTCAATAAACTTTTTTGTGGCCAGCATTCTTAAAGAAAAGTTTTTACTGTGTGACAATACTTATGACCTGACTGTGTATATATATATATATATATATATATATATTTAATGTTTTGATTATGTATAAAGAAAAAATACGTGTCCAATACTTTTTGATAATCTAACTGATAGACGAAGAAAAGAAGTTTGTAGTCCCCATATTATAAGCGTGTGGTTTTGTATCAGCCTTCGGATGGCGTGCTGGTACGCTGGGCGCACCTAGCGTGCCTCGTGGAGTTTGCGTTGGAGCTGCAGCGCGTGCTGGCCGCCATCAACGAGCAGTCGTTCAACCACTTCGTGCTGCGGATGGGCGTCAACCACGGGCCCATCACGGCCGGCGTCATCGGCGCAAGAAAGCCGCACTACGACATATGGGGCAATACCGTCAACGTCGCCTCGCGGATGGAGAGCACAGGCAAAGCGGGATGCATACAGGTAGTTATTTGAAACTTTCATTTTGTTCTTCCTACCATCGTACTAATATTATAAATGTGAAAGTTTGTTGCTCAATCACACAAAAACTACTAAACGGATTTGTTTGAAATTTGGTACGCATATAGTTTATCACCTGGATTGAGACATCGGATAATTTTATCCCGAAAAGAAAATGTAAGGTTCCTTAAAGATTCTCAAAAAACTAAAGTTTAACGGTACGAAGTCGCAGGCGGTCGCTGCTAGTCTTAAACAAAAAAAAATAGTTTAAATTGTTTCCTTTTTTGTAACTTTTATTAATAATAGGAAAATGATTACTTTACCCTTAAAACAGCAGTTTGTGGCGACGTAGTTAAAGAATTAAGTGTAGAGAATATTAACAATTCCAAAAAGATAGATAAATAATTAAAGGCCTAGAGATAGAGAGGAACGTCCTGTATTATATTATTATGAAGTGTCTTTTCTATGCACGAAGTTAGGTCCTAGGAGTTTATAGATAGGTATGTGAATTAGATTCAAAACAATATCAGTAAGTAATGTTGGCTGCTGAAGCGTGTCAGTATTTGTAGCCTCTGGACGATTAATTATATGGTTAATATTGAACTTCGGGTTAGCGATTAATTAACGCGACTTAATTCCGATTAGATATGCTCATTGAAAACAGCATCTCGTTAAGGTAGAATTTTCACAAAAATAATATTAGTACACCACTGTTAATTCTGTATAATTTGATTTTCCTTCATAAAACGATAAAATCAGTGGTTATATTAAAACTAATCATGCCATTTAGTAAGTACAAATAAAACTGTTAAAAAACGTCAGACTGCGCCTTTAGACCTGTTTAGTATCTATGTACTAATCGAAGAATTATCTAATACAATCATGAAGAAATGTTACCTTTGACATTATCAAATCTTTCAAATTTACGTATGTAATGCGTGTGTTCGCACAAAACGTAGAGAATAGGTATGAGCTAGTGTTATGCGTTCGCTTAAACTTCTTGTGAAATGTGAAATTACATAAAACAACAGTACAGTCTGCTGAAAACCTCACGTGGTGATTTATTGCCAGTCCACTCCAAGTCAGGAAATTATATTTTGAACCCTATTTTAATTGGTGTAGGAAGCAGATGCTTCATAATGCCGAAATAAAATATATACAAAACGTAAGCAAACACAAAACATATTTCTGTTACTGTACCCTTAGCACGAACCAATATCGAATTCATAACGTTTGCGAGTCCGAAATGTCATTGTCAAATGTGTACTGATTTTTAATTCTTGATACGTACTTTGTGGCGCTGCTGTTCAAGTTTCCATACAAAATTTGACATTGACATTTCCCTCTCGCAAACTATTCAATAATGGTTCGTGCTAGGCGTTCTGTACCCCTAGCACGAACCATTATCGAATTCGAATAGTTTGCAAACCGAAATGTCAATGTCAAATTTTGTATGGAAACTTGAACAGTAGCGGCACAAAGTACGCAACGAGAACTAAAAATCAGTACCCTTACAAAGACCACAAAGAACTAAAAATCAGTATACATTAATTGACAATGACATTTCGGACTCGCAAACGTTACGAATTCGATATTGGTTCGTGCTAAGGATACTTCTAATCTGAGCCACGATAGTAATTGTGATTTACACGCGATCAGGCTACTCAGAGTAAGCAACGGTACGAGTGGTATTTTTGGAATCAGGCGATTATACTTTAGATCCTATGGTGGCCGTTTACCATCAGGCGGGTCATACGCTTGTTTACCATCCGTTTAACATAAAAAAACCCCTTGAAAAATTCTGCTTCGTGAAAGAGGCACTAACGATAAAAAGTAAGAATTAAAAGTCTTTGAACATGTTCGGTTGTTTGTTAAAAAAACATTTTCTTTTAACTTATTGGCTTAACTCTGAAAACGCCAATTAAATTGAATGCTTCTCATAGTTATTTATTATAATAAAAAGATAAAGTTTTTTTTTGTAGATAGTAATTTCTAGGACAAATTAATCAAATTTGAAAAAAATACACCAGTAGAAAACTAAATTATTCCTCATTGAAGACCCTGAGGATGATGATCCCGGCTGATGGATGCATCCATTAGACTGTGAATGAAAAACACACGAAGTTAAAATTATCTGAATAAAAAATATTACACCTTCCTCAAAATAGGTACTAATTCTCAAGATTTTAACTATTTTTCTTTCTACGGTATTACAATAAGCTGACTCGGACCCCAAAAACATTATTTATATCGAAGATTATTGTATTTTTTACACGACTGCCCAAAAAAAATGTGTTTTGTTTTTACAATAATATTTTCTTACATATACTTAAAATGAGAAAAAAGACAATACTGAAATATACTCAATAAATATAATTTGGTTTTAGGTGACAGAAGAGACTTGCCATATTTTGGAGAGTTTCGGGTATTTCTTTGAGCAACGCGGGTTGGTGGCAGTGAAGGGCAAAGGACAGCTGATGACATACTACCTGCAAGGCAAACGCGATGCTCCCCTTACGAACACTAATAAATCTCAGGTAAGTAGCTTCTTTTTCATAATTTTATCATAGTGTTCTCTTTTGTTCCAACTTACTGACTACTTATGTGATGAATGTTTATGTAAATGTTTTTATACAATACAATTGTCTTGAGTATACCAGTCATAGGGCCATACCAGTTTTTTTTTATCAAGTTCATTATATTGAGGAGCTCGATGGAGCTGGTGGTTAGCGCGTTCATCCTGCGATCGTGGAACTTTCGCATTGGGTGCGTGAATAAAACTTATTATTCCGAGCTCCTTCGTGCTTCGGAAGGCACGTTACGATGTTGGTCCCGGCTGTATCTGTAGTTGTTAGCACCCAACAATACGTACTGTGCCCGCGTGGTTGGTCACAATCTCCCTATTCCATCCATAGGAAAGGCTCTTGCCCCAGAAGTGGGGTGGGGACATTAATATGATGATGATGATATTAATAACGGTTGGTACAACGTCAGCGCTACCAGTCTTCTGCTCTAATGGGCCTCGGGTTTGGATTCCGACAAGAGCATTAAGAACCTTTACGCATTGTCGACTGGTCGCTGGCGACTCGGTCGACGGTGACTGTGACTTACTATAGTTTAAATAGTGGCGACTCACAGGTGACTGCCAGTCGCAGGCGACTAATAGGAGCACGGCTTCAAATGGAAGCATTCACACTGCGAACGACTGGCGTAACGACCGGACGTGGAAATCGAATGTACTTGGAATACTGTCGCTCGGCTTGGTCTCCGTCTCTAGTTGCCTTTGTTTTGGTCGCCGAGAGACCGAGTCGTCGGCGACCTGTCGACAGTGCGTAAAGTGTGAGATGCTTATGTTTCTGAGCCAATGATGTTTTTTTATAATTATTAAATCTTGTATAAGAAAGTTATTTGGTTTGCATTCATTTTACAATAAGTTTCCCTTATTTTGTGATTAAAATTAGTTGTGATTGGTCGTGATTTTATAAATTATGTATGTATATCACATCGGAACCTATCTGCAATATAATTTTTATGCACAATAGCACACAGCTATTTAGCTTCAGGAATGTTGAAGGATGATAATTATACCTATACAGATAGCTACAACAACACAAGCGGGCGAACAACACTGACTGATGAATTCAGTGACATAATATTGTATGACTCACAAAGCATTGCAATCGAGATGTATGCATGCCTCTATAGGATTCCGTTCCATACGCGCGTATGTACCTACAGACGTGTATTACTTGGAATCTAACCTTCATGCTTAAAACATTGACACAAGTATAAGAAATGCATGACACAAAATGTATTATAATTTAATTATCATTATTATATTAGCTGCTGAAAAAATATTCGTACCTACCACATCAACCTTGCACCTTGTGAAGTACTCCCAACATACTTTAACCCTCTATGCAGGCCTGAACGTCTAGAGCAGCAATAACCAATTTCAACAAATGGCCATGACTTTTCCAATCCAAATCGTCAGTCTTTTGAATAGGAATTTTGAATAGTCTTAGTTACGTAATTTCGCTTCTCAATGTCTGACGCTCTCGATTTTTTCCCATATTCTTAAATTTCGTACGGCGTGGTGTGGGGGTGCCACACCATGGAAACTGGCAGATGAAAATATTTTCCTTCTCCAGAAACGTTACGTAAACCCTTTAGTTCTAGTTGCTTCTATTGAAAAGACTGATGATTTGGATGTGACCAAAAGTCATGACCAAATGTTGAAAACTTTTTTTCCTGCTCTAGACGTTCGACCCTACATAGAGGGCTCAGGTATAGTGGGAATACTTCACAAGGTTGCCACCTTTATGTTAATCAGCCACACTGCGTCCGTCTCCATAAATGTAATTCTAAAATGACAGAGGACTTGTTTGTCTTTTATTAAATAAAAGTGTAAAAATTATTTTATTATTACTTAATAATATAAAAGGGAGTCGAAGAGCTAGTTTGTTATTACGTCCGATAGAGGCGCAGCTTAGTTTTGATTGAAACTTTGACGATGCTATACGTTATGGAGCTGACAAAAAGCTCTGCTTACGACTGCGTCAGAATATCTGTAAACGTCACGTCAATGTGTGCGTGATCAGAAGTAACGCTGCCGAGTCTAATTGGGTGCGGCTGGCGGTGACGTACTTCGAGACGGATTAAGAAGAATGAAAACGTCGACATAACTTCGGGCACGTGAAATGCTCCGAACAGTCTACCCGGACAGGCCGTTTCCCATATCGCCCTGCACGGTGAGGCCGCTCGGATCGTTGTCAGTTTTCGACGAAGCATTGTCTCCTTATACCTATTTCTCTACAATGAATTTTACAAGAAATTGCACTGGCATATGACCAAGTGAAACCTGGTCTTCAAGCCAAGCTCAAGTGACATTTCAAAAGTCTAGTATTCGTCTGGCATATAGAATTTTCTTTTTACTGAAATTATCATAATACAATTAGGACAACATAGAAAATCACAGAAAACGGATTTTTTATGAAAAAAAAGTACCTTCAAAGCAGTTTTACTTCTTATTCATTCATTTAAAGTTTAATCGGATATAAATAGATATATCTTCTGAATATCTCCACCACAAACAACATTTATGTATTGGGTGCTTATTTCAAATACAAAACCAGGTCTTTTAATATTTATAACTTACTAAATTGCAGATATAGGCTGGACTATATGGAGAATATGGATACAATTTTCATCTATGCAGTAGTTTTATTAAAATATTTTACTAATTATGTCGATAAAATTAAGTGAACAGACGACAAACTATATTGAAAAAAAATGCCTTTTTGCCAGTTTTTTTACTGAAGATTGAGGAATTGCCATAAAAGAACAATGAGAAGATATCGTGTTTAACATACTTACATAAACAGCATAGCTCGCCCTGTTACAGATAATATGGATGCCATTTTTTAAAAAATGATGCAAGATCGGCATATCAGTAGTTACGACAAAGCTGAAGAACTGGGAATCGACCACAGTTTTGGCGCAATTAAAAAAGCTGGGTACACCTAAAAGCTCGATATTTGGGTGCCTCACAGCTCATGAAACGAAACCTATTAAACCGTGTACTCATTTTCGATTCTTTATTACGACGTAATGAAACTGAACCATTTTTAAAGAAGCTGATAACAGGTGATGAAAAGCGTGTGATCCGCTTTAGTACGACACGAACATGCGAAAAAGGTCGTGGTCAAAGGTCGGTCGGACTTCACAGACTCTGGTTAACTCGCAACAAGGTGATGCTGTATGTATAGTGGGATTGGAAGGGCATTATTCATTATGAGCGGTTACCGCCAGGCAGGACCATCGTTTCTGAACGCTACTGCGAACAACTGATGAGATTAAAGCAAGAAGTTGAGAGAAAGCGGCCGGAATTAAACAACAGAAGGTGTGTGGTGTTTCAAGACCTCACACATCTTTAGCCACTCAGCATAAATTAAGAGGGTTTGACTGGGAGGTGTTGATGCATCCACCGTATAGTCTTGAACTTGCATCTTCAGATTTCCACCTATTTCGGTCTATTCAGAATTCTTTAGGCAGTGTCAAGTTAACATCACGAGAGGACGGCCAAAACCACTTGTCGCGATTTTTTTGATCAGAAGCCCCAAACTTCTATAGCAATGGGGTCATGCCCCTACCTACAAAATGACAAAAAGTTATCGAAAAAAATTACACCTACATACTTAAGTTAAAGTTAAATAAACTTTATTATAAAATGTTTTGAATTTTCATATAAAATGCGGAGTAACTTTTTACTTCACCTATTTTTTTTCTATTCATAATATGAATCCTAGTCCTAGTAATATTAGAAATGTGATAGTTTGTATGTTTTTTTTTTCTCCAGAGAAGGACGAACCATTATCGTTAGAAAAAAAAATACCCACTTATCACTTACCTATTGATGATTCTTCTGTATGTTTACTTATTAATAATAAATAATTATGAAAGTTTACAAAATAGACTAATTTGATAAACATTATTTTGACCACTAAAATAGTATAAATTAATTATCATTAATTGTGGTTTATTACTATTGTTGTTAACTTTCGTATTAAAGGTATTTTAATATAATTAATAATGTAATAGGTTGAGTAAGAAATACTAGTTTGAGATGGATGGAATCAGACGTTATGACGTCTTAGACGTTGGACAATGTTCCTATAATGATTTTAGTTGACAAAGTGATAATTAAAACTTTGTAAGGAAAATAGACGCCCAGACGAAGAACTCAATAATACATTTTGTAGTTTATGTTGCTATAAACTCCATTTAAACCTAAGTTTCTATTAAGTTTCGAGAGGTCCTGGTTCGAATCCCGGTGGGGAAAATGTTAGTATAATGAATACGAGCATTTGTACCTTATTCATGGATGTTTATAATATGTATTTCTATATGATTATACTTATATATGTATCGAATATGTGTTCTATCCATTAGCCCAGCAGTAGCACCCCATAACACAAGCCTTACAGTGCTTACTTTGGTGCTATGTAGGCTAATTGGTGTGAGTGCTAAAAATATTTTTATGTTACTATTAAGAAGGTTTTGTATTGATATTTTTGCACCCAAAATAAAGTGAGTTTGTCTACAGGCTGATATAGCAGCATTGGAGGCGAGTGCTAGTGACACGCTCATCGCAAACGGAGACGCCGCCTCACCCAGCATACGACCCTCGCCCCGACTCGCCGAATCGGAGGCAGACCGACCTCTTTTGCGACCCTAAGATATAAATAAACAAATAAAAAAAAAACAAAGACTATATTCGCAAATTCGCGCAACCATTTTGGGAAACATACCGGATATTGCCTGACCTCTACTCCAGATACCCCTTTGGCAGTTTTTAGAAACCATTTTTCGAAACCGTTTCGAGAAAAGAATTAGAATTCTTTTTTGAAACCAATTTCGATTTCAGATAAATATTTCTTCTTTCGAAAATAGTTTCGACAAACATTTATAATTCTAACATCGAAACTCGATATGTAATAAAAAAAAAATAGGTGCGTGTACTTATGTAGGCGCGTGAGAAGTTATCCTTCTTTGGCATCGTTTAAAATTAGTTTTTAATTGCATGGAAATAATTAATTACAATAAATTAATAAAAAGTCTGGAAAAGGACACAGTCAATAAAGTTCAGTTTTAATTTGAAAAAATAAATAAATAATCAAAATATTCAATTAAAATCGCTACTGAATATAATTTATTAGAACATATGTGATTTGCACTTGTATGAAACTCAAACACGTATTCCGAATATACAAACTAGAAACATGTGGATAAATATTATAAATATGAATACCTATAACTGTTACTTTATTACAAAAAATAAAGATGTGGTTTTTGGTTCTACTACACCAATGGTCAAGAGATGGCGCTGGAGTCTCCTGAATCGCGCTTTGGTTCCGTTGTTCCAGATTAATAAATACTTTTGATATTATAAATATGAATACCTATAACTGTTATTTTATTACAAAAAATAAAGATGTGGTTTTTGGTTCTACTACACCAATGGTCAAGAGATGGCGCTGTAGTCTCCTGAATCGCGCTTTGGTTCCGTTGTTCCAGATTAATAAATACTTTTGATAGGCCTTCACAATGCAGTCGTTAGCACCCACTAAATAGAGATTCTATTTCTATTTTGTTGGTAGATTTTCTTAACGTGCGGTAAACACAAAAGTAACAGCATGAAGTTGGTCGCTAAAGCTAAAGCGACCAACTTCATGCTGTTATTTTTTTGTGTTACAGTGATGCGCGCGCATCTTAAAATTTCACTCTCATCATTTTTTCATAACGCGCCTAAAGAAGTATAACTTCAAAAATTAAAAATCTTCTTTGATTAAAAATAATTTCTTGGCATTTATGAATTAAGGACGTATCAACAATGATATAGGTACATAAAAATATTTTAAAAAATATATCGTTTAGTTGGGTGTCAAAATCGAATATTTACATTTATTTTATTGTTCTATGTTTAAAAAAATAAATAGGGGTTGTAGATTAAAACAACAAAGGAGCGAAAATTACAAATAGTAAAAAATTATGAGAAAATTATATTACCTATCAAACTCAACAAATGAAATTTGCGTAACACACTTTCTGTGTAACAATATTTTGAAATATAAATAAATAAATAAAAACCAGTTTTAATTATACCTTTCAGAAAACAAATGTCTTATGTTTTATTATTTTTAATTCAAATAGAAACATTGTTTTAGATTTCAAGCAGGTGTAACAGAACCATAATAACACAAACAGAAGTTTAAACAACTTCAGGTCGTCGTGTCCAATTTTATGATAATTTTGACCATACCCGTCTTTATCCAGTCAGTTTTTAAAAAAATGATTTTGGTACCGGTTCCGGAAACAGAAACATTTTTCTTATTTGGCAACCAGTTTTGAAACATGGTGTCAAAAACGGCTGAAGGGGGCTGTACTTCTCATTCAGTACATATAAAATTTAAAAACAATAATGATAATAAATAAACGTTGCGTGATCAGATTAAAACTAAGTAGGTAGGTACTTACTTATTTATTTTTATAAAGATATTTTTTAATTATTGTATTTGTACCATGTAAAAAATAACAACAAGTCATTGGATATTGTTATTTTAGCACACAAAGTACAAAAACAAACAAAGGCTAATTAATTTTAGTTACCTACCTAGTTGTGTTTAAATATTTGGCGCTCATTTCACGTCTCCAGTACTTGACAGCAAAATTTGATACCTACTCTATTATTCCTAACTAATATTTAAATAATAAAATGTCAAGTTTTCGTATTTTTGTGTTGCTTATAACGCCTCAGTGTAATTGGTAACTTTTTTGTTTCCTCCTAAATAAATGTAACTTATGTTTGTGCGTATATAAAATTATTATTTATGTATTTTACTCATATTTTTTCGTTATGCTTATCGTAAGTCAACTACAATTTTAACTAATAATCTTCATACTTAGTTATTTTTTTATTTTATTTTACATTATCGCCTGAATTTTAGTCACTAAAACTCTGGTTTTTTAAGATAGTGGGCTCGTCACATAGTGGCCGTAATAAACGGAAGCAAAAAGACTTAAAGAAGAATAAACGCTCTCTAGTAACGTCATTCACTGCTGTATTACGGGCGCTATATGACGGCATCAATATCCCACGAAATCAGAGATTAACTCTGGGAACAATTTTTTTAGATTACCTTTTAAATGAAGTTGGACCTTTTCATAATTAAGATTTTATATGACTACCTGCAGCAGTAGACATATCATTAATATTGATTTTAGTACTGCTTCTTTTCATATTTCACATACGTAGAACCTACACGTAGAAAAATAGCTTTTACTGAAATGCTTACTCATTTAAAATAATCAACGAATGTTTTATCTACAGACGCGATAGTTTAATAGTTGCTGTATAGCAATTTATAAAAACTAAAAAAATGGTATGGATGAAGTCCGACCACTAATGTGGTAGGCAATATATTCCATGATGTAGGTAGGGAATACCATGGTACTCAAATACGCTTAGAACTCTATTTTTTTAGGAGTTGGATGCCTTGAATATAAAAGTATGCATTGAAAATGTGACACCAGTGTTTCTGTAAGATTGTGTAGTTTACTTTATCGTGTAGTTTTTACACACATACTATTAGAGATGCAAACATATTTTTCTTTTCAAACTTTAGAGTAAGATCTAAAAAAACACATATATTTAAGGTTTTTCAATTGGTGTTTTAAAGTTTTACTTCCATGATTCAAACGATAATTATAGCTGGTTAATTTATGTAATGGATTGATTTAATATGTCTAATTTAATAAATTCTCGTGTGTTTGTAATAAAACTCTTCTGAAACGGCTTGCTTGACCGATTCGTATTTTTTTGTGTGTTATAGCAGTAGTTCTGACAATTACACTTAAACTATTTTTCATACCTCTAAGGGTGGTCTGCCCTAAATTTATTTTTAATTTATTGGTATGTATATTTTTATGATTCGTCATTAAAAAATACTTACACACAACTCTTCATTTTCATCCTTCTACCACCAACCCTAATTTTTAGGTGGTACTAAGTTCGCTAAGCTCCCTAGTCCATACTGAGTCTGGTCATAAATACCTCATACTGTTACAAGAAAAAAAACATAATATTACATTTGAATTTTGAATCTGCGATCCCTACCTATATAAACATTGTGTTTTTTATTTTCGCTTCAATCGGTGTTAAATATTTCCGTGATATTAAACTGGAGTGGGGAGATAAATAGAACAGAAATTCTGTGATAGAATTTCACAAAGTATGTATGGAGCCAAATGCAACTGTTGAAACTCTTCATCGGCTTGTAATTAGTAGAATGTTTGTGTACCGGGCTATTGATAGACAGAAAAAGATCTGGCCGTCTACGTAGTATCCGTACATGATTCGTACGAAATAGGTAATTGAAGCTATAAAGGAAAGAATTCGATGAAATGCTGTTCGAAAGTAAGATTTTAACCAGAACCATGTCGCGTGTTTTAGAAGATGACTTAGGACTTGTAGCCTATAAGAGACGCACTGTTCATTAATAGATGATTTAAAAATTAATGGGTTTGCAAAATCAAAACTTCAACTTCTTATGCGCTACGCAAAGGGAGGTAATAGAAAATACTTATTTACTTACAGACGAGAAAATGTTTACTATTGAACAATGTTTTATTAAGAAGAATGCACGAGTTTATGCTCGAAGCTCAATTACAAGCTTTCCAATTAGTCAGCACAGTACAACGTGGACAATATACGACTGTAAGGATGGTTTGGAGTGTTAGCTATCAAGGAGTGACTGGGCCATATTTTTGTGGAAAATGTGAAACATCGGCACAAGTGTATCAAGATAAGATTTTTAAGAAGCCTCTTAATAACACTGTTCTATAACCAAGAATAGTCCTTTCAGCAAGACTCAGCGCCGGGTCATAAAGCTCGATCCATCCAACTGTGGTTGGAAACAAACATTTCGGACTTCATCAGACCTGAAGACTGACCGTCATCTAGTATCAATCATAATCGGCTGGATTATGAATCATGGTTTTTAAGAGAGTATGGCATGTTAGAACGTGTTTAGAAACACCATGATAATTTGAAACCCCTAAAACAATCCATAAGATTGACAGTGAAGAATTTTCTCATTGAGAGTGCGTGTTTCTCTTGATTATTAACCTCAACGTTACTGTATTAAAAGCCAATGGAGATCATTCAGATTAACTGTAATTATCAAGAAGAAGACGCTAGTATCACACTAATATTATAAAGGCGAAAGTTTGTGAGTGTGTGAGTGTGTATGTTTGTTACTTCTTCACGTCTTAACGACAGGAGCAATGTTAATAAAATTTGATATGGAGTTAGCTGGCACCCTGGATTAACACATATGCTACGTTTTACTACTGGAAAATATCCCTAATAAACCGCGGGTAACACTACGAGCACAGCTAATCTTTATATATATAATTCTTCTGTGAGTGTGTATGTCACTGAACTTCTCTTAAACGACTGGACCGATTTTGATGAAATTTTTTGTGTGTGTTCAAGGGGATCTGAGAATGGTTTAGATTCACAATTTTGTCCACTGGACAACCCCTATTTTTTTAGGGCGGTACGAAGTGCGCTGGGTCAGCTAGTATTAATATATAAACTAATCCACATAACAATAAATTAATGATTTATGTAGTGGAAAAAATAGATTTTTTTCTTGTAACAATATAATTTATGGCAAGACTAGGTAGGTATATAAAATGACTTTGTTCTATATAAAATGAATTATCAATAACCAATAACAATTGCTGAAAACAGTCATAAACCCATTTATAGATACAAACATGTAGTTCCAATACGTTTTAAGTGAAAAAAAATCTACCTAATTGTTCTTGTTATTGTTGTCGTGGCACTCATAATTACAGCTTTGAATTATTATGTAGTCTAATACTGAGAAAGTGAATATTGCTCCATTGTGAAATATTGCGTAAGCTTACAACCAGGTTCGATACCCGTGACGTATTAATACATGTCACAAAGTTCCCCTTATATTATAAAATAACTAAAGTGGAAGTTTTGTTTGTTCATCATGCTAATTATTTATTGACAGATGTTAATGTAAGTATACCGAGCATCATCATAACTGCTTTAGATGACAATATTTTCTTTGATTATTATGCGAATTATAATAGATGGTTCACATAATTAAAATAGCTATTTCAAGTTGCAATTACAAGTGCATAATAATTCTAAGAACTTATTAATATAATTATTCATTGAAAAAGAAATAGTGACATTATTAACTTTTTTTTATTATTTCATTGCCCCCACGCACACCTAGCAACGCGTCTGATTACTGTGTTTGTTTAATTTCTTCTAGTATTAATAAACATAATTTACCAATTAAACTAATACTTTATAAGTGCCGGGCCTACCTTCAATAAATTCTAATTAAATAATATATAATATGACGAAACAGTAATCAAAAATATCATTTTGAATTTTTCACGGTGGATGTATGATGTATGTTCTCACTCAGTGTTTCGTTCGCTTAAACGTTTTTGAAGTGAAACTTCTTTACGCATGCTTGACTTGGG